GCAGAAAATGCGGCATTCGACTCGGTGTAAACAGCGACTCGACTGCGCCGCCTTCGTTAGCCAAATAAACTAGGCGAAAATGCTTCAATCGATCCTATGTAAACACACCATTAGTTAGCGGTAGTACGCGATACGAACAAATAGAATGTTGTACAAAGCGAAGGTCTTAGAGATTTTTAAAGTGTAATTCTACACATACATACAAAAAACTTTTACTATGGAGACGCTAGAATGGGGGAAAAAAATCAGCTATTCTTCACACATGGATATAAATATTTCGTATTTCGTTTTGCATTACATTTAAGACCTATCTAAGACAGCGAGCCTCTGGTGGGCTCGAGGTCGAGTTGCCTTTTACTTTTACTCCTGTCCCCCACAAATAGTACTACAACATTAAACATTGTTTATTTACTATAAGGTCTATTCCTTTGTGTTGTTATTGATTATAAATAATTTATTATTAATTATACAAAGATCGAATAATTCCTACGATCCGGCCTGATTCGAACCGACGCCTCCTAGAAAACCGTACCAGACGTTATACCAACTAAGCCACGGAACGAACCAGCGGACCTCACGAATTTTTCTGTGTGCTTGTTGTAGGATCTATATTTTTAGCTTTTAGCGACTTTTTAGCCGTAGCACCATCCATGAGAAATTTATTAAAGTATTTCGTCACCCAGTAAGGCACCTCTACAGCTACCAGCCCTGGCTAGAGATGTCGCTATTCACTGTAATTAAGTGTTTTATTGAATGTAAGCATGTTTCACCATCATAGTATTCAATTCTTTTTTGTGAAATTACTCCACTAGTTTGTTATAATTTTATTAATACAAAGATTGGAAACACTTGGAAAAAATCCTTCGATCCACAGCCGGATTCGAACCATCGGCTCCCAGCAAAGATTGCCAGACGCTATGCCAACTAAGTCACGGAACGAACCTCACGAATTTTTCTATGTCCTTGTTTTTTTAACGACTTTTTGCCGTATCGCCATCTGTGAGAAATCTATGAAAGTATCATTAAATGATACTTAACAAATTTTGTTAATGCTAATATTATTCAGGATTGCTCTGTATACCATCTTTAACAAAAGTGAATCATTTTGTTTACTGTGTTGTTTTGTAAATTAACTGAATATCTCTCTTAAAATTCCAGGTAGCATGTTAACGATTGGACGATCGAACTACCTCCGTTTCAACCATCCGGAAGAAGCGAAATTGATGAAATCCGTCTTGCCGTCAGTACACGTTTCGATGGCGCCTGTGCAGTTTCAACCTAATGAGATGTGCTTGCCTGCTGGTAAGGTCAATTTATTACTACATTAGTAGAGCAAGCACGATAAAAATAATAATAAATAAAATAAAGTAAAATTTATTTGGACAAAACATGTTTACAGCTTCAAATTCACCACGGTCCTCAGACTAGGCAAGCCCGAATCGTGAGGTCCCAGACGTACAATTTTCATACATTACATATTAGACTCTAAAAGGAAAAGAAATCGATATAAAAATAAATGTTATAAATAGGTGTGTGATTTAAAAATATGAACAACATTTTTTGCAATTTCATAAATTAATAAAATCAATAAAAAAAATTTAAATGCTGCTACAACATACAATGAATCAAATTTTCAACAAAATCATAAGTCAAATCAAGCAACCAGCTCTGCGGTACATGTTTAGCGTCGAATACTGAGCTGAGTTTTATGTCACAAAATCTAAGGACGTTGTTATATAGGAATGCGGATAGAAACGGGTCTTAAATCTTTTAGCAAAAGAACTGTGTATGATAGGGAGTTGGACATGAAATACACGTTTTTTAATCAAAGCACTGTAGTCATTTGATCGAAGCACTTGCATGTGGGTTTTGATTGCAATTTTAAGAGCGAAGAGCTTGCGAACGCTGAGAACACCAGCCTCCTCGTATAGGACTGCGGTCGGGTAACGTCGGGGCTTTTTCAGCATAGTTTTAAGAACACATCATTGGGCTCTCTCTACTTGTAACATGTGCGTTTTTGCTGCACCACCCCAGCTAGAATGCAATACGTAAGGAGTGACTGGCAATGGGCGTAATAAGCCATTTTTAGCACCGCCGGCGTAGCCAAATCCCGGAGCTTTCTTATAATATTTACCGTTTTTCTTACTCGACATGAAAACTATGTGGCTGTCAAATTTAAGTTTATCGTCAATAAGAATAACAAGATATTAGCAGTATCGGTTCTGCTTAGGTCTTCGATAGGGCGCGACTTGCGCGAAAGCGACATAAAGTGCGACAAACTGCTATATTCCCACAGGTAATAACAATACTTCGCCTTCTATGCCGCTCTCGCGCAAGTCGCGCCCTATCATACTATCCCTACAGCTATATAGGTGAAACAAAACGGTCCAACCTTTGTTAAGAGATAGTATACCCCATTATGTGTTAGTAGCGGTGGAACTCCCTGTGAATGAGTTTGTGCAGAGAAGTTACTGTGTTCGTACCTACTTCTGCCGCCAAGAAGTAATGTCAACATTACTGTGTTCCGGTTTTGAAGGTTAAGAATGCTAGTGAAATTACAGGCGCATGGGACTTGTCAACTTATGTCTCAGTGTGACGGGCGCAGTGGTGTTGCCCGTCAGATCTTTGCGATTTAAATCTCTTAGGTTCGTATTCCAGAACTCTACTCAATACTCAAGTCAGGACTTGAGTATTGCAGTGAGCACTGAAATCATACTCGAGTCCTTGCCATTAGGGTCGTATTTCCAGTGCTTGAAATCATACTCAAGTCTGCTCCAGTCCTGACTTTAGCATTTAGTAGATTTCTGGAATACGACCCTTAGTGGCATTGCAACTGTTATGAACAGACGTGTAGCTTACCATCAGGCGCACGACTTGTTCGTCCCGTCACTTGATATTATAAAATAATAATAATAATCGAGTAAGATAACGTCCTCCTTTTTTGAAGTCGATTGAAAATGTGATATTTCTGTGTTCAAGTAAATATTAGCTAATTTCAGACTGAGAGTCGTATTCCAGAACTGTACTCAATGCTCAAGTCAGGATTTGAGCAGACTTGAGTATGATTTCAAGCACTGGAAATACGACCCTAATGGCAAGGACTTGAGTATGATTTCTAGTGCTTTGAATTATACTCAAGTCCTGACTTGAGCATTGGGTAAAGTTCTAGAATACGACCCTGAGTATAACATTGTCATCATTTCCCAATTTTATACAGAACAGCAGGGAAATTTCTGCATGCCACCGGAACACACTACTGCTGCTCTCGAGTTCCATAATCGAGTAAATATTTCGTGTCAAGTGGCGTACATTACACCCTTATCGATTGCTTGTTGAACATTTGTTGAAGTTGTTTGTTATCTTAGTTTGATTATCAGCTGAAATATTTACCAACCGTTTTGTTACCACCTGTGTAGTACACCTACCACTGCTCGGCATTGGGTTTCGTCGGAGGAGTGTGCTTCTTTGATTTCTAAGTGACTTCACTCTTCAGGCACGTTTCCTGTTGATGACGCATAACAAGTAATAGCTCATAATGTAATCGTCTGATCTTTTACTTTATGTTGTCTTATCGGCGCAGGATTCAGATTTCGCAGAACAAAACGTTAATTCTCTTTTTCGCAAATATCTAATTCTCAAAAATGTACAATCGTAAATTATTCTATTCACTTGGCGAAAGACCACTGTTCGCGCTCTTAGTATGCTCACACGCATAGCACACAGCGTCACGGAGCCTACCAGGCGACAGCGCTCCTCGCGGCCACCATTACGCCATTCATCGCGTTCCCTCAAGCACGTACAATTTATTGTGTTGAAATACCTAATTGTAAGGTTTTTTCTATTATACACAATATAAGTTTGTAAACCGTTGTCTCGTCTACATTATTGAACCTTCATCAACAACCACATTCAAATTGTTACATCGGTATCTCCAATAACACTACACCATCTTTAAAATAACTAAAATAAAAACAAAACAGGCCCAAAAATTAAGTTGGCGTAGTGTTAATTGGAGATATCGACATGTAAATTGCTTGTACTATCACATATTTTAATGTGTTAAACTATGTCTTTTATTTACAGGCTTCCCACCCACCCACCAAGACCCAAGTCAATGTTACCAACCAAACAATGTTCAAAAATCATACAAGGAAAACACCCTGTCACAACTAGACGAAGAACTAGATATGTCTATTAAAGATCTAGCTAGAAAAAAGCCACCAGTTGCACCTAGAAAACCTTACAGAGATCTAGATGACTCCAGCTCAGACCAGGATAAACCTAAAGTGAATAGCATTATGGCTAAAGTGTCGAAATTCGAATATTATGCGAAGCAACAGAAGAATGTTAGTAGAAGTCAGTTTTATACTTCGAATGATAACGAGATATCACCTAAAGTCTTTAGTAGTAACTCTTTAACTGTGAACACTCCAGCTGTAGATGTACTAGGTGGTAAAGCGGTGCCAAATTATATGAAAAAAGAAAAAGTTAATATAAACGATAATAACTCCGACAAAAATAGTTCTTACACCAATGTTGCCATAAGAAAAACAAAAATTGAGGATATAGTAAGAAACTTTGATGAAAGCTCAAGATTACCGAAGAAAATCAACAACGACCAGTCGAATATTTACGGTAAAATTAACAATGACTCTAAAAAGGAACAGAACAATCTAGGCGAGTCTAGAAACTTCGACGAAAAGAGAATTATAGTGGAAGAACAAAATGACCTATATGGAAGGATTGACAGGTTACCTAGTAGAAATATCGGAATGCCATCTCCAGCGTTTGACAGGAACCCGCAATACGCTCCTGTTTATGCCAATTGTCATTTTGATCGGAAATCGGAAGCTGAACATATGAGAATTCGGGTATGTATTTTTTGTTCTAATTAATAAGTAACTATTAAGGGTTCCCTATCAATAGTCCGAAAAACCATTTTCCAGAAGAACGTTTGCTCGAATTTTCATGACCTCTACAGTAATTGTGAGAGGAAAATGTTTTTTCTTTTAAACCTAATTTAACCTCACCTAACCGAACCTAATCGTGTCTGAAAGAACAACGGTTTCGTTATAATTCGGTTTTCGGTGTAATGAAAATTCGGACAAACGTTATTTCGGAGAAAAAAATCGAGTTTGTGATAGGTGATCATTATTAAGCAGTAATGTGACCGCGTTTCGGCTTTAAATAAATAAATAAATAACGCACACACTCAACATAGCCCCGCGCTAGGGAAACTCACGAGAGAAATAAATGTAGGCCATACAAATATTTCTCCCGGTCCGGAATCGAACCTGGGACCTCTGCGTGGCAGCATGGTAACCGTTCGGCCACGGAGGCAGTTAAACGTTTTGGTGTGGTTCTGGTGAAATTCCAAGCACACGGCACTCGTTGACATTGTTTCTCGAGGTGACAGACGCAGTGGCAGCGCTCCTTAGATCTTTAAATAAAATAAAAAAATCGTTCTCAGAAAGTACCCGCTCCCGCCTCAGAGCATTAACAATATTTCATTTTTAACAGTTTTACAATTTCAACAATAGTATAATATTTTTGACACTTAAATTACAAACATTATTTTATCCAACTGGTAGCATTTTATGGAATCGTTGCATAATGAAGGTTCTTAAAGTCGAATACCGTGTTTAGGCCACAAGGCTTTGCCGAGTGACCTACGTAATAGGTACGAGATTTTAAGATCTAATTGTTTAACGATTGCATACAATACTTTCTTTCTCTACGAGTAAATAATATAATGAAACGGAAACAATATTGTTAACAATCCATGACAACAAACGCAATATTTTCTTAATTAAATATATTCATATATTTAGACGAAAGCCAAACAATAGCTACAACACAAAAAACCAAAGAGATAGAATAACTGGCCAAGTACCGCATATATTTTAACCATTTTTTTAAATAAGATTTGTGGCCCGGTTGCAAGATTTTTAGGCTAATTTAATCAATCAGGAGGCATTATAGTCGTTTGAGTAGAATCCTAATTTATTTAGGTATTTTAGTTAGCAAAAATACGACGTAATAGGTGTACGAAGCGAGGAAGGGTGAAGAAAGATGTTTGAATCTCCAAATGAGCAACTGCTTTTATTGACTTAGTTGTATGATCAACATAATCCTCGACATTAGCATACCGTCACACCCGGTCGAAGCGGCAGCCGACGATGCTATGAGCTTTAATCCAAGTATCTCATCCAGTGGAAGTTCTGGAATACCACTCATAGACCCTATGATTTGGTACAAAGCTAATTATTACCTTTTAGAACTTAAATGGTACCTAATTTAGATAACATTTCTATAGCGCGTTCTATTTTGATCCCAACGCCATCTAGCGGCAAGGCTAGGTTACTAATATTGCTTGTACGTGGTGTAACGTTCTTTTTTTTTAAATTCATTATAGTTCTGTGTATATTGCTTACTTACTTATTATATATAGGGCGCACTATAAGTTTCCGGAACTGGCCATTTACGTAAACAATATTTCAAAAGTAATTACAATATTTGAAAATGGAACTCTTTGGCTGTAGAATACAGTTTGTTTCATCTGGCTGTCACTTGTTTTTACGTTGTGACGTCATTTTAGAAATTGGTTGTCTACATCACCATGGATTTAACTCGTGAAAATTTTCGTAGTATGATTTTCTACGGCTTTAAGTGTAATATAACTGCTCAGCGGAGCTTCGCTCGGCTTCAAACTGCTTTTGGCAATGAAGCACCATGCAAGACGACTGTTTATAGCTGGTTTGCAGAATTCAAACGCGGTCGTGTGAATCTCAATGACGAATTTGGTGATGGCCGCCCGTCCACTGCTGTGGACTACAAAACCATCGATGCTGCGCGCCGTATGATCAAAACAGACAGGCATCTGACATACCATGAGATTCGGGCATCTTTAGGCATAGGCATGAGTAAAATACAATCAATACTACACAAACATTTGGGTGTGAAAAAGCTGTGCTCTCGGTGGATCCGACACAATTTGACTGAGACTCAAAATCCGGATCGCGTCACTTGGTGCAATGCCATGCTTACCAGATTCAACGAAGGAGTGTCAAATTTGGTGTGGAACATAGTAACTGGTGACGAAACATGAATTTATAGTTACGATCCCAAAACAAAGCAGCAATCCAGCGTATGAGTCTTTCGAGATGAGCTGAAACCAATCAAAGTGGCGCGCGTGCAAAGTGCCTCTAAGCGGATGATTGCTTATTTTTTTAATAAAACTGGACACGTGGCTACTGTTGCTTTGGAGAATCGTTGTACCGTGAATAGTGATTGGTACACGACCATTTATTTGCCGGAAGTTATTGACAAACTCCGTAAAAAGAACCGTAAACGCTGTATCATCTTGCACCACGATAATGCCAGTTCTCACACAGCCAGACAGAGAAAAGAATTTTTGAAGGTGAACAACATAGGCCTTATGAGCCATCTCGCGTACAGTCCCGACCTGGCACCTTGTGACTTTTATTTATTTCCAAAAATTATGAACCAGTTACGTGGTTAACGATTTTCATCACCTGAAGAGGCTGTCGAGGCGTACGAAATATATGTTTCAGAGATTGTCAGGGAGGAGTGGCATAAGTGTTTTCAAAATTGGTTCATTCGTATGAAGAAGTGCATTAACGCTAACGGAGAATATTTTGAGAAACAATAAATTCATTTCAGACCATTTATAGTATTTTTTAGTGTTCAGACCTAATTTAACATTAACTTACTATTTTTTTCGACTTCATAAAGGAGAAGGTTCTCAATTAATCGGTTTTTTTTCCTGTGTGTGTGTTATGCGATTAGTCCGAGATTTGTGAACCGAATTTGATGATTATTTTTTTGTTAGAATGTTATGAGGAAAGTCGGTTAATAATAAAAAAAGTAAATTTATTGGTATGTCCGCAAACCGTTCAGAGGCTAAAACGTGTTAAATAACTGGCTATTTTGCACGATTCGACGTCGTCGTATCGTAACAAAGTCGTGGAGTAGCAAAGCAACGTGGAAGTATATTTTATTAAGAGGAGGAGGTTATCAGTTTGACTGTTTTATATATATTATTTATTATATTTTTATCTATGTTACGCAATTACTCCGACATTTGTGAACTGATGTCGAAGGTTCTTTTTTTTGTTGGAAAAGGGGTACCTCAGAAGTTGTCCCATTAAAATTTGAAGAAAATATTCCTCCTCAAAAGGTGGTAAATTAGGGGACGAATCGGATTCATTGAACTTCACCCATTTCCCATTGACCGATTTCAATTAAACTTAGCACATACTGAGCTGAGCATGATGGGAATGGTAGACAGATGAGAAGAATTCCTGACCAGTGTACAGCAGACACCTTCTGTTTCGGTTCGTATGATTCCGTGGCCGAACGGTTACCATGCTGGACTGCCACGCAGAGGTTTTGGGTTCGTTTCCCAGGCCGGGAGAAATACGTGTATCTCGTGAGTTGGGTGTAATTTGTAGTTATCTATGTGTGTGTCCATGGCAACCGCGACACAGGGTTTCCCTATTGCAGGGAATATATACACTCATAGGAGTGTGTTGCATTATACTTATTCATTTGGACGAGGATTTGGTTCGTTGAGGAGACCAGCGAACACAGCGAAAGTGGATTACCAAACTTGTGAGATCGTTTTTTTTTTTTTTTTTTCATAAAAAGTTTTCTCTAACATAGTAAAATTGCTAGTTAGTTACCCATTAAAAATGACTCCGAGATTTCAGTGGGAGGTACTATCTACTTTAAATACAGCGTTCCTTGTAAAATACTAACAACCTTCCAGGACTGTATTACTAACATCATATTATTATGCAACAACTTTTGTTCAATAACTTTTAATCATTGGATACATTTTAATTTCATAAAAACATGAACTACAAACAAAATGGACTGCATATTGTCTGCAATAAACGATTTTAATTAATTATTTTTTTATTTTATTAAAAATAAATATATTTCAATACATTATTCTAAGCGGTGATCACTATGCAAAACGCTGGATCGTCGGAGAGGACGCTTGCACGTACTTACTATTGTAACTTTGTTATAAAAAACAATCTCTGAAGTTCCTGGAATTACATCTATTTGCCAAGTTTTATTGAAATCGGTTACCGAAAAGTCGCGAATCCGGATTCATCCTCTTAGAGGTGGAACATTTTCTTCAAATTTAAATTGGACCTATACTAAGGTCATCGAGTATATAACCAGAAATAGAGACGGAATGTCGTTTAATTTTTTTAATACTGTTCTGCGATATCATTACTGTGACAACTGCGCTCCGATTGGCCAGCCCGAATTCGAAGCAATTGACGGGTGTCGTCAATTCACTTCAAATCCTCCAGTTAACTTGAGCTTTGCTATAATGGACGAAAATTGCAAAATTACGTATTTAATTACCAATAAAATTTAATTTTGTTTGTTTTGTAATTAGATGTTTTGCTGTTTTTCGCCACACCACCGAATGGAGTGGATATATATAATCTTTATTAAAATAAATACATAATATTTTTTTGAATATACGGAGACATACACGGGTCAGTTGTTGGCCTGTCTTTATTTCAGTGCAAACGAGAGTTGATATTTATAAGTGACGTATCACTGATGAGTTACCACGAATGTATGGCCCTTATTTCGTCTCTATTTCTGGTTATATACTCGATAACTGAGGTACTCTCTTTCCAACAAAAAAGAATCTTCAAAAACCATTCGAGTTATCGCGTTATTACGTACAAAAAGTACAGTCGAATTGAGAACCTCCTCCTTTTTTGAAGTCGGTTGAAAAGTGTCGGATAGTGCAAAAAACACTTAAAAGTACATTTTTGGTACATTTATCATGTTTTGTTAAAAGTCATGGAACACAAAT